AATACATATTTTGCTGCTACAAAGATTTTGAGTCGTTAACCAACTATTTAGGTCATCGACAAACATTTTTGCTTCAGGAAACATTTCACGTCAACAACATTGTCATCATTATACATTTTTGTTCAATAGGAAACATTTTGAGGGTTAAGTGCTTTTCGTCGTCAATAGTTTGCTTTATCATGTTGCGTCAACAAGCATTTTGCGTCATCCAGTCAACCAATCACTTGGGCGCGGGAAACATCGATTTTGCGTGACCTTGAATATGGAGGAGTTACGTTGCTTAAGAATGGGCAAAAGCAACATTAACATTGTTGTATATATTCCGATAACGAGGCTTAACGAGCTGTAAATGAGATGTAAACGAGACTTAAACCACACGCAAATAATACTTTAACGACACGCAAACTACCGGCTACAAAGGGGCCTGATAGCTGAGTGGATAGCGTTAGGGATTCGTAGTCCTGAGGTTTCGGGTTCGATCCCCGGTGGAGGCGGAGACAAATGGGCAGAGTTTTTTTCACCCTGATGCCCGGTTTACCTAGCAGTAAATAGGTACCTGGGAGTTAGACAGCTGCTATGGGCTGCTTCCTGGTGGGGGGGGGGGTAATAAAAAGGAGGCCTATTCGAGGACCGGGCCGCGGGAACGCTAAGCCCCGAAATCATCTCAAGATAATCTCAAGAAGATATATCAATTAGGATAGGACAATATAGGCTTGGCTTAGCTGTGATAATATAGTAGGTTAATATGAGGCTAGTGTTTACTCACCTAGTTGTGCTTGCGGGGGTTGAGCTCTGGCTCTTTGGTCCCGCCTCTCAACTGTAACGGTGTGTGGGGTGGTAGTGTGGGGGGTGGTAGTGTGAGGTAGTGGCAGGAACCGTGTAGTGGGTTGGGACAGAAGCAGGGAGGGGTGGGGGGGGGGGTTGAGGTGTGATAACATTGATAGTGACGACGGGCGACATTCCACACAGATTACTGATAACTGTCAACAAAGCACAACTGTCCTGTAACAACTCTCAGCTGTAACAGGGATGGAACAAGTTAATTTAGCTCGAAACTAATTTTTCTTCAAATTATAGGTTGTTAACTACAATTATTTTAGTGTATAAGGCAGATACTATAATAAATTATGTAATGACTGGTTTTATTGCTGAACGAATGCTTAAGGAGCTTTGTTTGTGTTAGTACTTTTTTTCAATTTATCTCGTTTCCTTCTTTATTTCATTCATTTATTCAAAACCCTTTACCATAACCCAAGCGCTCATTAGTCTGTCTTTCTACCCTCCTAATTGTGCTTGCGAGGGTTGAGCTTTGGCTCTTAGGTGTCGCCTTTCAAGTGTCAATCGACTGGGCTGTTTTCCCTGTCCACTGATAGAGTATATTGGCATATTTTATCTTCCCTCTGGTCTTAATAATTTTGGTACTGATTTCGGGCACTTTGGCGTGTTAGTATGTCTGGCATATTTGTAATTCCGTCTGGCGGGAGGTAGGTAGGGTGCTGGTCGGCTGGTGGCCATCTCCTGTAGCTAATAGCCCATCAAGTAGCACGGGCTATGGTGAGCCCGTAGTGGACTTACCTGGCACAGGAGCGGTGCCGTCTGTGACTGTTAAACAACTCATCGTTTTTATATATACGTAAATGTTCTAAGTTGTCAGGTGTGTGGAGTCGGGTGTTTTGTGTATTGCTCGGGTGCACAATCGACTTGAGAATGGTCCAGGACGGACCGAAATGTCGTCGTCCCTTCATTTTCTAGTGTGTGGATTGGTCAACATGGGTATAGTTATGTATTTGGCTAATGTCAGGTGCTAGAGAATTATGTAAGTGACTTTGGTATTGAATCCGACGTTAGTATATTTAGTGATTTATTTTGAGACCACGTAAAGTATTTTCGAGAGCGGTCTTGATGCAGTAGTGGGATGTGTGTGTGTGTTCTTAGTAGATGTGAGTGTGCGTTCTTAGTAGATGTGAGCGTGCGTTCTTAGTAGTCATGTGTTAAACTGGTGACTCTATATGTATTCAAGACATGTACTTCAGGGGGGCCTATATCAAGGGTGGCATACATATATAGAATGCACAGTGATACTTCAGGACCTACGTCACCCGTTACCATATGATCTGCCAGTATCTGGATGGAGGACCACGGGGATGTAACCACCACCACCACCCCCCTTCTCTCTCTCCCCTCCATGGCTCGGGCGGCCTTGAGGCGTCATGCGCCTGGGCTCCTGTGTGCTGGTAGAATGGGTCTACCAGGATACGGTTGGCATGCTGGACCCATGGCCACCCGTGGCACGTGGGGGTGTGGTGATGGTTACACTTGGGAGGGAAGGAGGGTGAGGTCACAAGTCTTCCTCATTTATTATTCGTTATATAACATGTCTCCCACGACACCACCTCATGCGGCCCTTCACTCTCCACTCCCACACACACACACACACACACACACACACACACACACACACACACACACACACACACTCATACACTCACTCCATCCCGTCCATTACCTATCCCCCCCCCTGTACCATCTCCCCGCCCACCTTTACCAAAATATACATCACATTAAACAAGCTTTGACATCTTTTATTGATAAGATTATATCAAGGAAACAGAATGTAAATGGTACAGCCCAACCTTCTAAAATAAGAACGCAAGAATCAAGGATATACGTCACACCCTAGAAGGATTCGAACGCAGACAGCCAGAAGCACTATGCAACACGGCGTACCTGGTTCCTTAACAACTCGACCACCGTGACTGTACAAAAGTCATTGGTAGCCGAGGCTATATCCCCCAACGACCCGATAGCACTTGGTGGTAAGCTTGGGCATAGGCTTGGATATAGCCTCGGCTACCAATGACTTTTGTACAGTCACTGTGGTCGAGTGGTTAAGGAACCAGGTACGCCATGTTGCATAGTGCTCCTGGCTGTCTGGGTTCGAATCCTTCTAGGGTGTGGAGTTTTCAGTTATATCACAAAGGCGTGATTTATCACTGAAAATCAGTTTGAGGCAATGGACTCTCGTTCTAATGATTCCCAGATGCCTGGTTTAACCCGTGGCACCTCTACTCCTCACTGGTTCTGTTCTGCTTTGAAGTGGCCATACTTTGTCCTCTGTCGTGGTCTTGTGGATGGATAGTCAAAGAAACCAAACACTTACGCGTCGGTATTTGACTAACTAATAAGTTACATCTGACACCCGACTAGAACTCTTTCAGGGATCTTTCATAACGGTCAATAAAAACAATGTTGGGTTGTGAAACACTGTGTGTGTGTTTGTGCATAATTAAGACTGATAGCCGGGAGACTTAAGGTATATTAGCCATTATCGGCAGGAAGTGAAGCAAGCCTCGCGTCGTAGCCTTGCGTCGTAGCCTCGCGTCGTAGCCTTGCGTCGTAGCCTCGCGTCGTAGCCTTGCGTCGTAGCCTCGTGTCGTAGCCTAGCGTCGTAGCCTTGCGTCGTAGCCTCGTGTCGTAGCCTAGCGTCGTAGCCTAGCGTCGTAGCCTCGTGTCGTAGCCTAGTGTCGTAGCCTAGTGTCGTAGCCTAGCGTCGTAGCCTTGCGTCGTAGCCTCGTGTCGTAGCTTAGCGTCGTAGCCTCGTGTCGTAGCCTAGCGTCGTAGCCTAGCGTCGTAGCCTAGCGTCGTAGCCTAGCGTCGTAGCCTTGCGTCGTAGCCTCGTGTCGTAGCCTAGCGTCGTAGCCTCACTCGCGCATACACTTTGGGTTGGTCAGGAGCTGAGAGGGAAAGTTTCCTTTGCTTTAATTTCATGTTAGGGAGTCATATGAAGACTGTAAACCTAACACAAATATCAGATACATAAACACACTATTCATCTTATGTGCTCAGATAAATTATTTACCAATTAAACTACGTTCACACCCCCCCCCTTTTTTTATTCCCCCAATCCATCGGCTTTACGCCCCTTTGGAATTTATGATTGAAGCTTTGTATTCAACTGCTGGTGAGAGTGATGCAATGGTCACATGTGCATAAAAGTGTTTAATCAAGCGACCAATCAACCAGGGCTATGAACATGTGGAGAATTGCGATTGGTTGACATAAAGAACTATCGTAACACCCAATGGAGCATCCAGTTTCAACACGTTGTAATCAAGCTGGCTCTCAGCTGAGGCTTTTACTATCTAGTGAACTGTCATTGGTTGAATGCAGGAATGACATCATCAGCTAGTCGTTTTAATCGTAGTTAAAGATTCGTATACAAATTATCAACAGCCTCGTGTTTTGAGGAAAAGAATTTATTAAGACATTTTGAACACGTAGCCGAGCGGACAGCACGCTGGACTTGTGATCCTGTGGTCCTGGGTTCGATCCCAGGCACCGGCGAGAAACAATGGGCAGAGTTTCTTTCACCCTATGCCCCTGTTACCTAGCAGTAAAATAGGTACCTGGGAGTTAAGTCAGCTGTCACGGGCTGCTTCCTGGGGGTGGAGGGCTGGTCGAGGACCGGGCCGCGGGGACACTAAAAAGCCCCGAAATCATCTCAAGATAACGTAATATGAGGAGCGGAGTGCAGCAGAGGTAAGGAGCTTCAGGTCTGAGCACCTGCCACCTTACCTGTCACAAGACGGCTCTTGTTCGCCAGTAAATTCTGATTGGTATAAGCGAGACAAGGTAATGAACCTCGCGATCATATCATTCTATATTCAGCCAATCACAAGAGGCCTTCATTAATATGTGAATTGCGATTGGTTTGTGACAAATGTTATCAATTTGCCGTTGCAATAGATCGGGTGACTGTTGACCAGACCACACACTAGTAAGTGAAGACACGACGACGTTTCGGTCCGTCCTGGACCATTTTTCAAGTCGATTGTGTTCACTCTCTAGTGTATAGTTTGGTCAACATATTCCAGCCACGTTATTGTGACTCCTCGTCTGCACTCGGGTGACTGTTGTTTTTCTCTAATAAAAGTATTTCCACGAGAGATAAGGGGGATAAGATAAGGCAGGAAGGACCAGAGAGGGCGGTGGCGATAACCAACAGTGTGTGTGTGTCTCTCTCGCGCCTTAGGCTGTAACCCGCGTCACATATATAATGTTTTACACTAGTGATTCTTGTCGAATATTTTGTGATTAATGTTACCGGGATTATTTATTTATTCAAAGTGTGTGTAAGAAAAAGGGGATATTTTTCTTGTGGATAGCAAGGCTATGTGGATAGGCGCCATGTTGGTCTTTTCAGCAATGGCTTTCATGTGTTGTTAAACTTGTATATTCCAAGAAAATGTTAGTTCATATGCGAATTTCACTATAGTGTCTACATTTTCTTAATGTGTATGAAGACATTGTTGTTTTTGTTTAGATAAGAAATCGGCTATCTCAAACTCAAATTAATATTTGAGTTGGTCCCGAATTGATTGTGAAAAGTGTAATTACAACCCTATCCTCTTATTTAGATAGTACTTTTGTAACTGTGGACCATCGTACATGGTAATTATAATAGGCAATTATATTACGTCAATGTAATTGCCCATTACATTCACGTAATGGATCATTTAATAAAAGAATTTGATACTACTCGCTTCATAGTCTGGAAAATAATTAAGCTAAAAACCAAATTTGAATATTCCTAGGCTTAGTTTAGCACATATATGTACTATATTAGGCCTAGGAGGGTTAGGTTAGTTTTATTAGCATTAGAAACATGAATACAAAACCAAAAGACAAAATTCAATAGTACGAAATTTTATTTTCTAATTGTCCATTGTGCCAATATATATATATATATATATATATATATATATATATATATATATATATATATATATATATATATATATATATATATATATGATCCAGATCGTTACAATAAGTTCTATCTACACATGAGGACGGGCTGTATAAATAATACAGTAAGTTATCAAATTAAGATTTCAGTATTAATTTAATCTATATATATATAGGTACAATTTTTTTTATTTATATATCAGTATCAATGTGAATTAGATTGATTGTTCGGTTTTAGATAGAAGTGGAAAGACAATTTCGTTTACAATCCTAAAACTGGTAATCCGAGGGTGAAATATTTGAGAGGGTCGGCCATGGTAGGAAAACTGGCGCCCGTCTTCAAGAAGTTGGAGGGGAAGGAAGATGAGGAGGAGGAAGGAAGAGGAAGCAAGGAAGGCACAAGACACGATGAGATGATTTACCACCCTACCAAAACCTGTAAGCTGCTTCTCTCTCTCTCTCTCTCTCTCTCTCTCTCTCTCTCTCTCTCTCTCTCTCTCTCTCTCTCTCTCTCTCTCTCTCTCTCTCTCTCTCTCTCTCTCTCGTTGTATATATTTTTGTGGATTTTTGTGTACATCTGCAGCGTGTATATATGGGCAGGACAAAACGTCCACCAGACATAGCGAGATATAGTAATTAACAGGATGGAGTTCCGTTACCTGTGGTAGGTGGCTTCCGTTATTATGGCGTCATGTACCACGCCCAGAACCCGTTATCAAACTTTGCCACACATATTGACTTGACTGTCAGAAAAAGAAGTGATGTATGTAGTGGTGTAGCAAGCCTACAGGATAGAATACAACCAGTCAGCAGGGGAGATACGTAGGTATATTTGACATTATTAAGAAATTGCTGTCACAAAGAGAAGGTTTGTTGACAAGCAATTCAAATCCTGTTGAAATCTGATCCCTGTCACACGAGGCTGTTTGTTCAGAGTCTGATCCAGAGTTCAGAGTCAGTAAGACATTTTACTGTACTGTCTCGTCCACAGTAACAGCTTCTACATATTCCACCATCTGCCGAGGGTGGAATATGTACAGACTGTTAACACTTATGTAATTTCTTGTTCAGTCATCCTTCATATCGTATATATCTTTTTAGTTTTCCGTTTTATTTGTTATATATATTTGACAAAATACAAGTTATATTAATGTCCTAAGAATTTTAACAATTAGTATTTCTTGCATTCTATTTATTCAGTGTCATAGCCTATTGAAGTCTTCCGCTTTTTAATATACAATAAATAATGTCTGATTATAATCAATTATTTTTTTTTAGATAAATAACACTTTAACTTGCGTTATTTTTTTATGTCGAGGTTCTCTCGACTTTAGGTTCATTAGACAACCGACGGTCAGAAAGGCGGGGACCAGGAGCTAACTGTCACAAATATTACATACAGAGTGTATAAACTGTGTATATACACACACACACATCATGTACTTATCCCTCATCCACACCATTAATGAATTTGACCAGACCACACACACTAGAAGGTGAAGGGACGATGACGTTTCGGTCCGTCCTGGACCATTCTAAAGTCGATTGTGAATGGTCCAGGACGGACTGATATGTCGTCGTCCCTTCACCTTCTAGTGTGTGGTCTAGTCAAATTACTTTAGCCACGTTATTGTGACTCACCGCCTGCACCATTAATGAACACACACCACCCAGTGTCCACACCCACTCTTGCTGTCAGACGCCTCACCACACTATCCCTGCCTGTCCTCAGGTGTTGGCTGCACTTCCAAGCAGCGGCCGAACCCAAACACAAGGATTCATCAGTTTTATCGTACTGCGTATTCAATACTTGTAATTTTTTATATATAAGGTAATATATAATACCTCATAGACTGAATAGAGAGACCTAACTTAGATGGTAGGGTTCTGTTGGCAGTACATGGATGAAACATGTATAGAAGTTCGATTCGAATAGCGGATGTCAACATGAGGCCAGATTCACGAAGCAGTTACGCAAGTACTTACGAACGTGTACATCTTTCCTCAATCTTTGACAGGTTTGATTACATTTATTAAACGGTTTTCAAACATGAAAACTTGCCAATCAACTGTTGTTATTGTTATAAACAGCCTCCTGGTGCTTCGGAGCTCATTAACTGTTTTAATAATTGCAACCAAAGCCGCCAAAGATTGAGAAAAGATGTACAGGTTCGTAAGTGCTTGCGTAACTGCTTTCGTGAATCTGGCCCATGGTCGTCTGCTTATCTTAGAGGGCTACAAGGCTATCTTTAATACAGAATACATTACAATTTATGACCGTGTCTCTGGGTTGGGCAACACTTTTAAAATAAATGCCATAAATGACGATGTTCGTTCACGTTCATATGTTCTAATTGCAGACGGAGCCGACGACAAGCCGTTCATGGTAGATATGAAAGAGATGAGTGGCTACGAGAAGAACCTCTATCTCTACTCGGTAAGTGAACCTCTTGTATCTCCTCTGTAAGTCAACCACTGTATCTGCTCTAATTGACCCTCTTATCTGCTCTGTAATTGAACCTCTATCACTATGAGTAAACCACTTATCTTTATTCTCTAATGAAACCACTTATATCTACTAAAGAACCTCTATCTCTACTCTGTAAGTGAACTAGTTATCATTGTAAGATAACCTATCTGCACTCTGTAAGTGAACATTCAGGGTAAAAATATAGGAACCTGAAATACTTTTCCTTTCGTGGAAAATCTAGGACAAAAACTACCTAGCCTTGAACCTCTGCGCATAGGAGATGGAACCTTCATAGATAACAAAGATAATGAGCTAAATACTGAGGCAACAGTTCCATTCCGTCTGCATTGATCCCCCTAAACACACACTGAGGATTGATAACCCAAACGAATGCTTCATGAACCCCAAACCAAACCATATATCAGAAGTCACCATCGAAGTCACTGGACTTTGAAACGGGATTACCAGAATCTATATTGCTGAAAGTAGCGTGCTTAAGGATTAAAATGGACGCATTTATAATATGTATAGCCCAGTTTTGTTAATTGATATTCTTTTCAGAGTAAATAGGCCAGCTTATTTGAAAAGTAGGCCAAAAAAAGTAGCAAGTAGCGACATACATAGCTGGCTTTTCAGTTCGGCTCCTTTGCCTAATTGACAGGTTGCCCAATCCGGCAAACCTGCTTTGAAGTAGCCTTGCGCCGCATGCCCATATTGTCAATGAGGGCATAGGCAGGACATATATGAGGTAAGATTATATATATATATATATAATATATATATATATATATATATATATATATATATATATATATATATATATATATATATATATATATGTCGTACCTAGTAGCCAGAACGCACTTCTCGGCCTATTATGCAGGGCCCGATTTGCCTAATAAGCCAAGTTTTCATGAATTATTTGTTTTTCGACTACCTAACCTACCTAACCTGACCTAACCTAACTTTTTCTGCTACCTAACCGAACCTAACCTATAAAGATAGGTTAGGTTAGGTTAGGTAGGGATGGTTAGGTTCGGTCATATATCTACATTAATTTTAACTCTAATAAAAAAAAACTAACCTCATACATAATGAAATGGGTAGCTTTATCATTCATAAGAAAAAAATTAGAGCAAATATATTAATTCAGGAAAACTTGGCTTATTAGGCAAATCGGGCCTTGCATAGTAGGCTGAGAAGTGCATTCTGGCTATTAGGTACGACATATATATATATATATATATATATATATATATATATATATATATATATATATATATATATATATATGAATGAGGACAGTATGTCCGCATATGCCAGCTCCTTGTCCTCATAACCCAGCTCTTTGTCCTCGTATCCCAGCTCCTTGTCCTCGTATCCCAGCTCCTTGTCCTCGTATCCCAGCTCCTTGTCCTCATATCCCCAGCTCCTTGTCCTCGTATCCCCAGCTCCTTGTCCTCGTATCCCAGCTCCTTGTCCTCGTATCCCCAGCTCCTTGTCCTCATATCCCCAGCTCCTTGTCCTCATATCCCCAGCTCCTTGTCCTGATATCCCAGCTCCTTGTCCTCGTATCCCCAGCTCCTTGTCCTCATATCCCCAGCTCCTTGTCCACATATCCCCAGCTCCTTGTCCTCATTCCCCAGCTCCTTGTCCTCATATCCCAGCTCCTTGTCCTCATATCCCAGCTCCTTGTCCTCGTATCCCCAGCTCCTTGTCCTCGTATCCCAGCTCCTTGTCCTCATATCCCCAGCTCCTTGTCCTGATATCCCAGCTCCTTGTCCTCGTATCCCCAGCTCCTTGTCCTCATATCCCCAGCTCCTTGTCCTCATATCCCCAGCTCCTTGTCCTCGTATACCTTGCAAGTGCTATATAGTGAGAGTGGCTCAGCGCTCTCTCCAGACAATGGCGTTATGTAAGGTGTAACATAACTTGTTGTACCCGGACAGGAGGAGATGGCAGATCGACCACGAGTGTCTATGATGATCAACTCGCTGGCCAACTACAATGCCACTATTCCCTCGGCCGAAGAGAGCGACGCTAAGGCTTCTCAACCCCGGGCCAAGTTGGGCACGGTGATGGGGGTATTCTTGCCCTGCATCCAGAATATCTTCGGCGTCATCCTCTTCATTCGTATGCCCTGGATTGTGGGCACGGCGGGTGGAGCGCTCGCGTTCACTATCGTATTAATGTGTTGTTGTACGGTCAGTGTCTCCTGCTAAACTGTCTCGACCATTGCTTTGCTGCCCTCTTTATAGCTACACCATAATCAGTCCTTTTTGTGTAGGCGAGGAGTCACAATAACGTGGCTAAAGTATGTTGACCAGACCACACACTAGAAGGTGAAGGGACGACGACGTTTCGCTCCGTCCTGGACCATTCTCAAGTTGATTGTGAATTGACTTGAGAATGGTCCAGGACGGCCGAAACGTCGTAGTCCCTTCACCTTCTAGTGTGTGGTCTGGTCAACATTCCTTTTTGTCCTCGAGGCTTATGCCTTCAATAATATTGTTTCTAGTAGAAGTTATATATTTAGCAAACATTAGAACTGATATTTAATTATGTACAAGTATTATTATATAGGTTAAATTAGATTTAAATGATAAAATGTTGATACATAACAGTAATGTCATAGGTCAAGAATGTTTTCCAGATCAAGAGCATAAATATCATAGAGTTCCTCAGTAATCAGTTGATACAGGTACTTGGGTAAGATTGATGGTGTTGATATGTTAACATCAATGTATTTATGCTCATGCAGTTGTATATTCTCTCTCCAATAGACCTTCTTAACTGGGATTTCCATGTCTGCCATCGCGACCAATGGCGTGGTGCCGGCTGGTGGCTCCTACTTCATGATCTCTCGCTCACTGGGGCCGGAGTTCGGTGGCGCTGTTGGCATACTCTTTTACACAGCAACTACCGTCGCGGCTGCCATGTACATCATTGGTGCTGTCGAAATATTTTTGGTAAGTAAGAGGACTTTATTAGTGCCAGGAATGTTGGTGTTACATGATGTTGTATATTAGGGGACAGGCAATCTATTAGACGTATCGTAGTCTAATACGATACATACATTAGTATACACTAGTATACATACACTAGTATACACGTATACTAGTGTATACCGTTGAAGGATGTCTATACCCAGTATTGTTAGCCCTGTGGCACTGTGTCATAATATTAATTATTATATGAGAAGTATGACTTGTGTAAGAGCTTCATTATATAATTACTAAATTATTTACCCGAGGGCCATTAACCCTAGTGGCCTCGACAGGAACAGTTAGCCAGCAGCTTGTCGAAGCTTTATAATCTTTTCCAGGAAGATTTTTAAACGTAACACAGTTTTGGCATTTACCGCTTCGGCGGGTAGGTGGTTCCATAACTCTTTGGGTGATTCTCTGATTCTGTAGTTAATTTTTTTCACTTAGACTAAAATTGCTTTAAAATTTTACTTGCATTCAGTTCATTATTCAAAAATTTAAAAGTATTATAACTTGAGTTCAAAGATAGCAGTGAAGAAAATGTTAATGTGCTAAGTACTCTATAAGTTGTCATCAATACTGTACAAATTTTTGCTTGCAGACTTTGTCTCATGATTTGTTGTACTATTAGTTACATTGTACTTGACATATAACATGTAATATTTTATCATTACAGACATACATGGCTCCAATGCTGTCTATATTTGGGGACTTCACTAAAGACCCGAGCATCATGTACAACAATTTCCGCGTGTACGGCACCGTCCTCCTGTGGCTGATGTGTGTCATTGTCAGCATCGGAGTGGCCTTCGTCAGTAAATTTGCCGCTCTGGCGCTGGCCTGTGTCATCGGCTCCATTGTTGCCATCCTCGTTGGCATCTTTTATAACATCAATGGATCGGATAAGTTACAGTAAGTCTACAGAGTCCCAGGTGTTGAAATAAGTTTATTGAGGTCAAATACACACAAAGGGATGAGGTAGCGGAAGCTATTCTCACCCCGTTCAGTACATCGTGTTAATACATACATAGATACACATCACAAGCAATAAACGTATTACCGAACATTCTGAGAGAGAAACATATACATTTCCTCCTTTACACAAGTATCCTAGATGTTTGTTGGTCATGGGTTGAGTGTTACAGATACTGTGCAACACGAAGGCTCACATGTTACTTCTTTTGGATATTGCTTCAGCAGCCCATCCTCATGCCTTAGGCCTAGGCCTTCTGTATTATATCACTGTTGTAACCTATATGGTTTTCTGTTGTCAAAGACTGGAAGTCTGTATGTAGGCTTATGGAGGTCCGCCTTGCCGACTAGTGTAATGTACTGACCTTCCCCAAGGAAATTCATTATACGTCTATTTCTACTTTTATTTCTTGTTCAAGAAGGACTGTTTCATGTAATTTAATATTTACTGTAAATTTTGAGTTTGCTTTAAGACTTGCTCTATGCGTGTTAATGGCTTTACAAGAATTTGGATGTAAATAATTACATGGTATAAAGTACTGATGTGACAGCAAGGCAAAAGGCAAGCTGTGCTACCTCATACTACTGTCAAAAGGATGACCAAAGGAGCAACGGAAGGAAACTAGCCACCAGAGCACCACATAGCTACAAACTAGGCCAAAAATACTCTACACATGAAAACAGTCTCAAACCGTCAAGAGAAGGTACTCCATTGACCTTTTGGCAGAACCTGAGACTCAGAAAAATGTGTGCACTCAATTGAAGAATGAATTATTCGTCCACAAACCATTCTGCCGTGTTCAGACGGGAAATGAGTGTGATTATCCGCCAGGGCACTCTACAAGCTCCAGCACAGAAACCCACATAGAGGACCAAATCCCAAAACACCAGAAGCTGAACAACTTGCAGAGTCTGGCATGAAAGAGAGACCAACAGGAACCTTCCCAATGGAGACCAGGAGCCACTGGAGTGCAAGCAGAGGGGCAGGACTGAAAAGATCTACAGAAGCTGAACTCCAACATTGCAACCCAAACCACTGCCAGCTCACGATTTGTGAAATGGCCAACATCTCTGACTGGCTGAGTGAACGCTGGAGACAAAATAACTGCTGAAAGCCAAAGTGTCATTGAACATCCATGGTGAGGGGGTGTGGTACCACAAAACCAAACACCAAAAAACTGGAAGAGGAAAATGTAGGGTTCTCCACAGAGCCACCAGGGTCTACACCCAAATGTTCCAGTAACTAGAAAGGGTAACCCCCCGTCAAACCAGATCCAGCAAACCACGTTCATGTTCAAGCCAAGTTCAAACCATACAGACCAAATTCATGCTGCTGCAAAAAATGCTCTTGAGACAAATGATAAATCCGCAGGCTCGACCCATAGATGCGAGATACCAGTACAGGTGAGCCACTAGCGGAAGGAAAGGGACACAGTTTCATCAACCCCTACCAATCCCAGCCAGGCCTGCCCCTGCGATAGAGCTAAATAGTACTTCCTCCAGACAACAAGATATGCAAACTCCAGCCAGCAGACAAGCATATTAACTGGGAGCTTAGTGAATTTCCAGCAGCCAAGGAGGAGAAACCACAACTTGATGTCTTTCTGGAGAATGTTCTGGGTGCCAGCATGTATCGTGAAGGTCCAGGGAGAGGACCAGCCGAGAGGACCAAATAAACCCGATGGGGGTTGGTCATGCTGAATGAAGGTCAGAAAATAAAAGGTTCTGCTCAGAGACCAGGAAGAAGCAGGATTCCTATCCTATGGAGGAATTCAGCCCGGTCACACCCATGGCCAAGCTTATGCAGGCGCAAATGAAGGTGGCCAAGCCCAGACTCGCAACATAGGTGGAGGCGGCTGAGCCTTGAACCTGAGCACAGACCCTATGCTGGACAATGTTAACTTGTCTTAGCAATGAACTGGGCCTATTGAGGGCAATGCAGGACCAGACAAAGGAATACCGTGTGTGTGAATGATGTGATGCCAATCGCCTCCCCCCCAGCTCCGCCCCTGCCCTCCTCCCCCTTGCACGGCCCGCCCAACCCCTGCCCCACCCTACCCCTACGCCCTGCCCAGCCCTACCCTGCTCCCCCTGCCCCCGCCCCGCATTTCCCCCCATGCCCCATTTCCCCCTGCTTCACCCCTGCCTTGCCTTCCCCCCCAGCCCCCCATGCCCCACCCAGGTTTTTAGTGGTTTTTATAGTCTTAACATAAATAACCCAAATAACTTCCCCAAATCTCTCTCTCTATATTATTATTGTTTGTCTTTGAAGTAACTACTGTATTGTAATTGTATTTAAGCCCTTACTCTGTTTAATAAAATTTATGAATTTATTTTGTTTCAGGATGTGTTTTTTAGGCGCTAGATTGCTTAGCCAAGTTGATAATTGTACCAAAGAAATTGGTGGAGACCTGTGGAATATTTACTGTCCAATGGAGAACAATACTGTTACTCTCAACATTTCCGAGTGTGATCCCTACTTCCAAACTCACAATGTGTCCATCCGGCCGGCTATTTTGGGGCTCTCATCTGGCGTCTTTACTTGTAAGTTTATAATCATTGTTATGTTTTTGTTCAACTTATATTGCAATTTAAATTTTTAAGATAATGAGGTCTTTTTTTTTTTTTTTGTTACTTTACATATTGTACTTGCAATTAATTAAGTGCTTATTTTTAAATTTTGATTTTGTAGCATATGTTCCTGTAAAGTATTAAAGGATTTTACACTTTCTTGTTTGGCCATAATAAATTTTGTTCTTAACATAATTCAATTTTCTGTTTATTTCTCTGAAAAGAACACCACTTGCAGAAAATTCCTGCTAATCTCAAATTTTGTCTTGCAGCTAATTTGGGTTCTCACTTCATGGAGGATGGGCAGATTGTGGCAGACACGAATAACCCTGATGACTATGAATCTTTAAACAACCCAACCTACAATCAAATTATTATTGACATTACGACCTCCTTCACTGTGCTAGTTGGAATCTTTTTCCCGTCGTGCACAGGTTAGTGTCTCTGGAGGCTGATAAGTTTCCCAGTTTCTCTCTATCTCTGAGTTGCTCCCTGGTTAGCATCTCTTGCAGTCAAAAGTAGGTCAACACTGCATTAGTATAATGAACTTTCAAACTATCCCAGCATGGTCATACTGATGCTTTACAAACTGGTAATGTAAAGTATTGCATCAGGAATTATGGCTTCTGCTCCAGAAAGAATGACTATAATGGCTGGATCTATTGTTACAGGAATTATGGCCGGGAGCAACAGATCTGGAGATTTAGCCGATGCACAAAAGAGCATTCCCGTAGGAACACTGGCTGCGATTGTTGCAACGTCCACTGTGTATTTGAGTTATTTGCTCCTCTTTGCTGGAACATATGATGTTAATCTAATGAGAGATAAGTGAGTTTTTAACCGGAATAAACAAAAAATGAATGATGCTTTTGTGTGTGACGATAATTGTTTGCTTTCTGTCCGAGTAATAGTTTTGCATTCGGCATTCCACTGATTTATGTTTAAATATACTGTATATGAAACTTTTTCATCTTGATATTAAACACTCATAATTAATAGCAGATTAAGTGTTCATAGACTGCATTCACATTGTTAAGCATACTGAAATATAGTGACCAAATATCCATATTGTTATTATTTTTGTATTCTCAGAGTTAAGTTATAATGCAGGTAACATTCTTGTATATTTTTCCTTCAGATTTGGTTATAGTGTAGGGGGAAAACTGGCTATTGCATCAATTTCCTGGCCAAATGAATGGGTGATCCTAGTTGGGTCCCTGCTGTCTACTATTGGAGCTGGACTTCAATCACTCACAGGAGCTCCAAGATTGATGCAAGCCATTAGTAAAGATGGCATCATTCCATTTTTGTTGCCATTTGCCAAATCATCAGCTCGGGGAGAGCCTCTCAGGGCACTGCTGCTTACAGGCTGTAAGTGTGGAATCATATCATCAACTCTGTTATCATCAACAAACAATTTCAGTTATTAACCAATTTTAATTAACTAACAACAATTCTCACAATCCTTATTTTCATTCTCCTTCTATTCCTCATTATCAATCACTCGTGAATAATAATGATAATATAATTGTATAAGTATATAAGTACAGTGTAATATTCCTCAGGTGCTTGATCCTCTTTATAGTTGACCACTTACACGATCACTTTCACATATTTTGTAATGCTAAAGTTGCACTTTGGGTTTTAAATATTAATATATATAAGCAGTTCTCACATTGTTACTCTGTACTAGATCTCACTCACTCACACTCATACTCAGAGCACTGTAGCAATGTCACTAATATTAGCACTGTGTATCACTGACTCCATACGCAGTTCCTAGTGTAGATATGATAAGAGCCCAGTAGGCTCGGCAACCTTGTACACCTTATTGCTAAAGCTGTAAATGGCAAGAAAATAAAGTACTTCTGTGAAATAAAATTTAGCTGGAAAAATATTCGGGAATATTGCGAGGATTTTTGATGGGCTCTCAGCTTTCTGTCCTTGTTGAAGCTACTAGAGATGAGGGCTGTTAGGTAAATTCAGATAGATTTATACACATTTATATTCATATACTTTCACAGTCATTCACATTTATGTTTATAGTTATTCATATTCATACACATTTGCCTGCACAGTCTTATTTTTAATTTACTAATGCATTGTTTGAGGGGTTTTATGTTGCCTCTGTATTTGTACACAAAGGATAGTGGCAGTGGCTGTTAGCTTCATAATGCACCTGCCTATAAAACTAATTTGGCTGTTATAAAGGTTGCTCAGAGACAGTCTGAATCAGACATGTTTTATGTTACCACAAATTTGGGTTACTAGGCCTTGGGTAACTAAGCCTCTGCTCTAATAATAATTATTTCGTTTCAGGTATTTGTCAACTCGGTATCTTGATAGGTAACTTGGATTACATTGCTCCCATCCTGTCGATGTTCTTCCTCATGTGCTATGGGTTTGTCAACCTCGCCTGTGCATTACAAACTCTGTTACGTACTCCTAACTGGCGGCCAAGATTTAAGTACTATCACTGGTAAGTATGCAAGTACATTATAAGATTCAAAGTACAGCATTTTGGCTGTATTACCATAGGACTTGGTACTGACAATTTATGCTGAAGGTGATGATGATTGATTCGAGTTAAAGATCAGGATGAAAACTTATATTTTTGTTTTCATTTATGAATTGTGTATTCAATATTTTCCCTGACTTGGTTGGTAGTAGAGGCAGTTGTCTCTTTAACTACAGTACTGAACTCTTACCTCTTCCCAGCTTCTAAGTGATATATATACAGTATACAATATGTTCTTAAGAACTTTAATGAAATATAATGGGCTTATAATTCAGTGGCAGGTTACCTTCTGTTGGAATCTACTAAAGATGTGGGAAGTTGATGTATGTAACCCAAATTAATGATAACCTGATAGAATTATACTATTGATTTCCTAGAAAAAAGTGGTTGGTTTAAAATATTTCCTTTTTCTTTCCACGATAAAAAGATGGGTGGCTTAGGACACATTGTTTCACATTGTTTTGTAGTAAAATAATCATTGCATTTAACATTGATTTTACTTTACAGGTCTCTATCCTTTGTGGGTCTCTCACTGTGCATCACGGTAATGTTCATGACCTCGTGGTATTACGCTTTACTAGCTATGCTAATTGCTGGTATTATCTATAAATACATCGAATTCCGTGGGGCAGAAAAAGAATGGGGAGATGGCATCAGAGGTCTTGCTCTCTCCGCTGCACGCTATTCCCTCCTGAGGTTGGAAGAAGGTACACTTTATTCTTTTATTGTTTATATATTTTGTAACTTATTGGAATATTTCAAAGTTAAATTTTATTTACCATGTTGTAACTTTTTTGAATTATGTTAAAAAGAAGATTTGGATAACTGGAATGATTGCCTGCAGTTTCTTACACTGTAATATTGTCTACCAAACCAAAACTAACCTAACCCAGTATGATTATATAATCCGGTGAGAGCAAATTGGGGGATCTTTAACAAGTCACCGGCTTCCTGTCCTCGTCAGGGCCACTAGAGTGTTACTGGCCCTCAAGTAAATTCAGGTAAATTCAGGATTAAACCCATCCCATCTTGCAAGTGTAATGGGTATTTATCGCCAGCAGACATAACAGTTCCTCAATCTTCTCTGTACCTCCATTAAGGTTTTATGTACAGTACTTTTTTTTTTAGCAAAAGCATAAGCACTTTATAATTATTTTTGCCTTTACAGTATTCCATAGTTAAAAATAATTCTGATAGTTGGAACTTTTATCTATAAAACAAACAGAAAAGTACATTTATGGTTTATTCTAAAATGTAGTACTGTCTGTGCTCGGTAATCTGAATTATATGGGACCCACCCCCCATTCAGGTTAGCTAAATTTCTTGCCAGCAATATTCAAAAATTAATACTTGTATACAGTATTCAAAAAATGTTGAACTTCCATCAATAATTTGTAAACCATAACTCCTGCTGTTTGCCTGACTATTCTTGTCATTTACCTAGTTACTCCCACAGTTTACCCAGTTACTTTAAAGCTGTTTACTCAAAAACCATGCATATAACCTTTTAACTTGAATTTCTGTCTGGATTAAAAAGTCAAGAACTTTAACACTAATTCATGTGGTTTACATGAAGATTCGGGTTACTGTACTGGCATTTGGATTATCGAGAATTTACAGTATTTTTGTGGAAGTTGCGTACAACAAAGTGGCGGTTGGAACGTTGTTTTCTAGATGTTTGCTCTTGATTAGTAAAAATACTCTTTAATTTTATACACATAATCCCCATATTTTATCATGTTTTCAATTATTTGTAATGGCTTGTTTGTAAATTAAATGAAATGGCTTTTGATTAAACTATGCATACATCTACCTACATATTAGAACATAAGAACACTAAATACCTCCTGATTTGTTTCTAGGTTTGTCTACTGTGAAATCAAACTCTTGCCGTATGTTTTATTAATGATTGCAATCTCAGGATTATATATGATATATTTTTGTCTCTCCAGGTCCACCTCACACCAAAAACTGGCGTCCTCAGATTCTCATTCTGGCAAAGTTAACAAAGGACTTGGTGCCCAAATACAAGAAGCTATTTACATTTGCCTCACAACTAAAGGCTGGCAAGGGTCTAACTATAGGTGTGTCTATTATTGAAGGAGAGTATTCAGTAAGTGTTATCCAGTACTGTTTACAATAAAATCTATGCTAATTGTATATATGTAACATTCCAGTTCTCTGATAGGTATGATCTGCTGCTCATAATGAAGACTTGTCATGAGGACTTGTGAATTCACGTTTTCCTACATACTCATACTGTGTCGGCACTTGACTCTTCATAGTGTGTGTGACTATATTTGTCAGCTTCATCAAGTGTGTGCTCTGTTGCCTCGTGTACTATCGTTTAAACTATTGATCTAGAATTATACTTCAGATATTCACTTTCATATAGGCCTGGCATCATTATTGTAGGCAAACTAAACTCTACAAATAAGAAATATATGAACACAATGAGATCTTGATCACATCAAAGGGGCAGGTTATAATAACAATAATTAATGTGTGTTCTGTGAAGACTGTGTATGCACCACCTGTTTACAAGTGTGGAGAATGGCTTTGATGATTGTAAATATGGTAAGTGAAAAATGAAGCAGGTAATCATGACATGGAAGCATAGTTACATTTGTGTAGCATGTCTGATTATGACTAAAGTAGTGCCATCAAAGTTCTCAAGGTGAATTGACCTAGGCCATCAGGTGTTTGTAATTATAATTAACGATTCCATTTAGTATAGCGATTACTAAACTGCAAAGCATTTAAGGTAAGATTTAAGAGGTCTACTAATAAGTAGAATAATAGTAACTCTTGTATTCCTTTTATTGTATAACTTTACTATACTATACTATGGGCGCCTGACAGCTGAGTGGACAGCGCTTCGGATTCGTAGTCCTGAGGTTCCGGGTTCGATCCCTGGTGGAGGAGGAGACAAATGGGCAAAAAGGTTTTCACCCTGATGCCCCTGTTACCTAGTAGCAAATAGGTACCTGGGAGTTACAGCTGCTACAGGCTGCTTCTTGGGGGTGTGTAACAAAAAGGAGGCCTGGTCGAGGACGGGGACGCTAAGCTCCGAAATCACCTCAAGATAACCAAGATACTATTTTTTTCCATGAGAATGTCCCCATTTGCTTTTGTAGCCAGGGTAATGATTCCACCCAGATCACTGCCAGCACAAGAGGTTTCTGGCCAACTTTGAGCCCCTTTGAGACAAGTATCATTTTAAATTGAACTATTATTTATGATAGGAAGACCAGTGGAGAGCATTACTTAGTCTACAAAAATAGACCACTTGCTGTGACACCAAAGAACACATCACTCAGTACCCCTTCCAGAAGGCACTACAGGCTCACCATAGCCCATACTACTTGGAACTTTGTTCCAGGTAGCGAATCTTTAACAACGACAACCCTCCAGAAGATCATAGAGACTGAAAGAATAATCCAATTTTTGCTCTAAAAATACATAATTAACAAACTGTCGAATTCTTCAACTGCTACCAGATGTCGGCACTAGCTAGTGCAATAGTTATACCCTCAGTTTGTGCTTGGCATCCTCCCATGAAGCATAGCTCTGCAGAGGCCAGTTCCTTCAAATTGATATATTGTGTGGGATACCATTCATTAGTGTTGGCTTCCTAGTGTCATGCCAAGTCATTTTGTTTGTCATGGAAGCTTAGTTTCAAGGTGTCTGTGTGACAAATGTTACGATCTTGCTTGAGCCTTTTGTGTATACTTTGGCTGAGGAGACTTGAGTATGTTAGCTAGGTTACCCACTTCACGACTAGTACTTGTAGTCCCCTGCATTTGCTGGTGTGGGGCCTTAGCCGCTCCTCTTGTCTTATAAGGAGTATGTGGAGCTTTTTAGTCCTCATGACTTGAGAAGTCTCACAGTAGTATAGTGCACTTCTGTCTTTCTTGGATGAGGGCTTCAGTCATGGTAGTGCTATTCTGTCAGTGGCAGGAGTTTCTCTTGGTACCAGGATTGATATATGCTTCCCCACTAGCCTACACATCCTTAAACTAATGGAAAAGAGTATATGAAAAGATACTTGGCTCAGTGGAGCTCAAAGTCAACCAGAGCTTGGCATGCTAGATCTATGGCCCTTGCTAGGGGAGCAACCAACTTAGAAAGGAGTTTTTCATTCCACTTGATGCCTTATTTTCCATTATATATGTAAATATATTGGAAGGTAATATTATGTAGTAAATATTAAGTACAGTAAGAGGTGGTATGGCTTTCTATTACACTATTTCTTACTTCACTACAGAAAAGCTATGGAGAGTCGCATGCTGCCAAGCAAAGCTTGCGTCGTGCCATGAATGAAGAGAAAGTGAAAGGCTTTGTTGACACGTTGATTGCAAAGAACATAACAGAAGGCATTAGTCACATGTATGTATTTGAGGCTGTTTCAGTCTTGTTAAATTGCAACTTTAATATTTTCATGAGTTTTGGTTTGGTATTTGGGTTGCAAGATGAATTTATTATTGGCTAATTTTTTATGAAATAACCTAAACAGTTTTTGAAAGGAATTGATGACTCAAAGTTCGTTGTTTGCCAAGAATATTTTTGCTTCCCTATAGTTAATAATTATAGTGCCGTGGATAAAACTCCAAAAGAAGAGCAAAAGAAAGGACTGATGACCAGTTTTCTTCCCACTTTAGGCTAAGTTTTCCTTCCTCATTAAAGTGAGAAATGAAGTACAGCGTATGCGATTATAATTATATTTTTGCTTATATACTTTTATATTGTTTGCAGCATTCAGACTTGTGGTTTAGGTGGCATGAAGCCCAATACGGTTATTTTGGGATGGCCCTACGGATGGCGGCACTCGCCAGATGAGCGATCTTGGAGAGTTTTCCTTGACACCGTTCGTAATGTGTCCGCGGCAAAAATGGCTCTTCTTGTCCCTAAAGGAATCAATTTCTACCCAGACTCTATGTCAAAGGTAAGATTTAAAACAAAAAATATTAAATGATTCCAAAATTTGACTTCTCATTTTAAGGTTTACTGAATATTTTACCATAAAGAATTTCTTGGGAAAGTTGCTCATCTTTATTATAATAATTTAAAATAAAATTATTATAATTTTATTTCATAGTTAATTTACCACACATATATATGTAATGTACTATATATATAATATATTTATACTTTTCACACCACATTTAGTGGTCAGTGCAATTGGGAGTCAGGCATTGAGTGAATTATTAACATAACTGTATATATATTGTATGATACATACTAATACACTCATAATAATATTATGAGTGTATTATTAACATAATACACTCGCTACAGGCAGCTGTTGTGGGTTGCATCCTGGAAAAGGCCAGTCATTGTTCTAGGGAGACCTTAAAAACCTAAGAGACTCCCTGTTCCCCAAGTGTGAAGGTCCAGTACCGAACTGTATGGCTGACAAGGCCTTTGTTTACTGAATAAAGTCATTTCTGTGTCAACAACTTTGTCAAAATGTTGATATATTTGTGCTTCAGGTATCTGGCACAATTGATATCTGGTGGATTGTCCATGACGGAGGGCTCCTGATGCTGCTTCCCTTCCTCCTCCGCCAACACAAGGTACCGTAAAAGTCAACCACGTCCATTTGACATGTTAAAGATAAATATTTTTGTCTGACATAATGATAGTAGTTAAAAAATACATTAAACTTCCACAAATTACTGCTGATTATGCATTTGGTAATTTAGATATTTAAACAATATTCACCATAATTTTTGGTAATATAGTATATATTTTGTAAATTAATTACAATAACTATTAAATTTAACAGAATTTACTGGTAAATACTTAAATTACAAATAAACGACAAATTAAAACGAGATGAGTATCAGGGTGGCTTCCATTATCATAAAAACTGGTGTTGGAGCAGCCAGCTGACCCACTCTGCCTCCCTCCTTCCCCCCCAAACTAGGGAGCAAGCTAGCTCATGCTATTTTCATGGATTTTCAATAGTTTATTTTAAGTGTTTAGGGAGTGTTTTTTGTGTTTGAGGCTGTGGTCTCATTTCTACTCAATCAGTGGTCTGTTTTGTTTTGCTGACTTTCTGGGTGCCTTCCCTTGGTGGTGGTAAACATGAATAAATTTACATAAAGTTTTTCAATTGTGCCACTGCTCCCGGCGCCTCTCTAAGGGGGCCAGATTCTGGCTCGGGGTCCCTGGTAGGTCAAATAAGAACTCTGCAAAAGATGGCACCTTGTAGTTTGGCACTATATCAGTATAGTAGCTTCAGAGAGCCTCCAGGGCTCACCCAGAAATTGACATTTCATTACATTCAATGCTGGTTTTTTGTGCTTTGAAACTGCATGCATTCAGTGATTGTTCATTTAGCACTGCCCTTTCACTGACAGAGTAACTTCTTTGGTGTGTTCGGGAGTTCCCCATTCGAGGCCTGGTTACTGGGATGGAGTGCCTTACCTCGGGTATTTCAAGGGTTATCTGACTCCTCCGTTTAGGCCTGTGATTGTGGGTGTTCAAGCCAGTTATGTTGGGGTGTACTTGGGGCCTTCTTTATATGGCACACTGAGGTTGCCATTTGCAGACCTAGTCCATTCGGCTATTTTTGGATTCTGTTTTGGCAAGCATCCCCAGTGCCTGTAAGCACCTGTCAGGCATATTATCAACAGGCCCTAGTATCTGACAAGGTCAGTTATCCATAAATGATGGCCCATTGAGCCCACTCTCACCAATTGTGAGTTGGTAGGGTGTTCGTCACCTTTGCTATATGGTGACGCTCATTCTTTCTGCCTTCCCCATGCTGCCTGTTTGGTCAACAATGCCTACTTATAACCCTGAATCCTGTGGGATTTGTTTACCATGAGTTCTGATTCCCTTATTCTGCTTCTGAGGTGGAAGCATATCAGTCAGCTGTCACCTTACTGGCTTTGTTTTCCAGCTTCAGCATTTAAGGCTTTGTGCTCTGATAAAGGCCCTGGAATTGCCTCATTTGGTGTTTAAGGACCCAGAAGTTGAAATTTTGGTAACCTCCACCTTGGCTCCTGCTGCATCTCCTCTTCCATCCCTGGTCCAAGTCACAGGCAGGGTTTAGCTTGGGATGTAGCTCAGTAAATCCAGGGGGTTGCTGCTTCCTTCTCGAGCATAAATGCAGTTGAGCCCCTCTAATCCTGCCAAGGTTATGAAATTCTTTACATCTGCATGCTTCCTCTCTTCTTTCTTCTTGGGACAATGCCTTTCTCATTCATTTGGAGAAGACTTTCTCTCTGCCCTGGAGCTTTCGTGATAGGCTCCAAGGGAAGGAGGTTGGAAACCTTAATTAGGCCCTTGGATGCTCTTTGATTCCTCTTGGTATTTTATTCTGTCCAAGAGGGGGTCATAAGCTTATGGGAGAAGGGTCTTCTTATCCTGGGGCCCTTGGTTGTGTGCCCTGGAACCCTTGGGCCTTGGTTTTATGCTCTGGGTCCTCTTCTGAGGGTAAACCATGACATACTACAGTGCTAGTACGAGATGCACTCTTGCACCAAGTTATGTGAACAAATACACGCTGGAAAGCATTGATCGAAATGCCCCATTTATTAACTGAACCAAAATAAGTTAATCTAGTTACTCAACGAAACCATATGTACTTTATCTGATAAGTTGTACTATATTTTGACTTATTCCTAAAATCTTTTGCAACCCAGGTATGGAAGAACTGTAAAATGCGCATCTTCACTGTTGCTCAGTTGGAAGATAACAGCATTCAAATGAAGAAGGATCTCAAGACATTCCTGTACCACCTGCGTATTGATGCTGAAGTGGACGTAGTCGAACTGGTCAGTGTACAGTTATTAGTTTACCAAATTATTGAATAGATATATAGACTCTTAATCCTTTCATTTGTTTTTGTCAAACATTTTAATTCAATCTATAGAGTAAATATAATGGTTTATGCTTTTTACATTCAGCATATCTTAAGTACAGTAAAACTCAAATTGCTCTGTAAGTACAGCACATGAAAGTCTTTCTGTCATCATATTTGGAAGCTTTTTGACATAGTGATGTGCTGTGTCATGTGACTAGGGCCATGCACATTTGGGTAGGATTGCATACAAGAAACTGGCACCAAAGGCAACTTTGGTGCCAACAAAGGTGAATGTTTGGCGAGTTTAATTCTATATAAACTCTAATACATCTTTTAACTTCTGGCAGATGGACAGTGATATTCAGACCTACACTTACGAGAGAACACTGATGATGGAGCAGAGAACGCAGATGCTAAAGGAACTGCGTCTCAACCGCAAGGAAAAACTCAATATTGTGAGTACTTTTCTAATAACGTGCCGTTAAATTAGATTTTTTATTGTAAATAACAATATTTATAGTTTTGTATTATAAGAGTTCGTCACTTGCCCAGATGTGTTGCGTTATATTCTTGGAATAATGTTTATATGTCATCTTGATTAAGATTAACAGGATTGTTAGCTACAGTACATATAGATATCTTTTGTGATATGCAGAGTCTGATTTATAAAATTTAAGTACAGTTACTTATCCATTGTCCATCAGTCATCTAGTGATTGTAATGTATTAGTTATGGCTGAGGCTAATGTACAGTACTGGATAAATATCCCAAAAATTGCAAAATGTCATTTTGTACAGATACAGTATTTCACGTGGCATGCGAGAGGCTATGGTTATGACGGGAACCGCTGCCATGCACTGGGACACTGTTTATTTTGCTGGCCTCATAGTGCAGATATTGAAGGGTTCTTGGTTTAATTAAAAAATATGAAATATATCTTCAATATATCAGATAACAATAGTGTTATTGTTGCACCAAAGGTTTCAGTAAGCTGCCTACATAATAGGAAGCATGAAGTGTTGACTTTCGAATAAACACTACACAACAACCGAGCTGACAGTGGTGTACGTGCCACGGCTCTCACACCGTTTGCTTCTGTCTAGTAGATGTTGCCACCAATCATTTTGCCAAGGTGCTTAATTTCAAATACAAAAATATAAGATATATACAGAATATTAAGTTGAAAACGAGTAAAAATATTGGTTAAACATGCCATGTGTGTGTATACAATGCCTAAGACTTCACGAAGGGAGATGTGGGTAAAAAGATTACCTTTATTTACCTTTCTTAAGGTCTCAAGAAGGTGTAATGTAAGGCAGTGCATTGTCTCTCCTATTTGTTAAGTGTTACATACTGCATTTACATGGCATATCTGTACCAATATTATTTATCTTTTAAATATACTGTCTATATTTTATTGTCTTTATACATAATTAAAGAGCCAAGGTGGGTTTACAGCAGTTTACATTATAATGCACAGCACTGCATGACTAGCTGATGCAAACTCCGAGTACAGTACTCATTGGTATACTATACTATATTGTCAGGGATAGGAAGTCCCATGTGCTTATCCCTTGTGTGCAGGTAATGCTGTACACCAATCCAGTTGCTGGCATAACCCAGTAGTATTTAACCAACCTGAGTGACAGGCACATCATCAACCATGACACGCTCTATGCGCATGAGGATAACAGATCAGATAATGGATAAGTTGCTATACTTACAGCTATCACTCTGAAAAAGACTTGTCATATTTTGTTATGCTTAAAAGAAAATGCAAATGTAGATAGCATTACATAGTACTGTATTAGGGTTCCAGTACACTAGAATTTTGTACTTGGCGGACAGGAAGTACCCAGTACAGTATATTCATAATAATAATAATAATAATAATAATAATAATGTAGTTTATAAGATATACAAAGAAATATGTCAAAGTTACTTATTAGGTACAACAAATTCCATATTATATAAAACCACTAATTATGCACAGCATTTTTGGCCCAAATTATTTAATGAATTTATTTTAACATTTTTTGGTTAAGGAACTTTGAGCATTGCTGCCAGATATAGCAGCAGTCTTTTGGGATAATAAGTAATATTCAAGTTATTGTTTTCTTTAGTTTCTTCACAATAGAATGGACACCTTTTACATTTGTTTGGTCCCATTCTCTTAAAAAGTCAATCGGAAGATTGTAGTTTCAGTGTTAATCACTCCTATACAATGCATATCTCATATGTAAAATTCATATTAATATTTTTCATCTTTTATGTAAGGCATGATATTTTTAAAGCTAAGAAATTATTGGCAATTCAGTATTATTAAATAATTATCAGTTGTATATTTTCAGTAGTATGAATTATCTAATTTGTGAAATGTTAGTTTAAACCTCATTCTGTATAAAGCAGAATAAGCGCAGGTGTTGATAGACGTTTAAGAATAAGCGCAGGTGTTGATAGACGTTTAAGAATAAGCGCAGGTGTTGATAGACGTTTAAGTACTCCAAGTTTGTAAAAGTAAGATATTGTACATACAAGAGCATATTACTAATGTGCATGGCTTCTTGAGTGCTTTCAGGAGAGGCTTGTAAGACAATATTTAATGTACAAATGTATAAACAGAGAACACACTCGCATATCAACCAGTATACTACAAAATTAGGATATCTTTACACCCTTTTATTGATACCTGTAGCAAATCTTCAGTAATAAGGGAATATTTTATTTTAGATGAAATGCTATTGACTGGTATGACCTATCCACCAAGTATTACAAATTCTCTAAGCAATTATAGATATATAATTATTATAAATTGCATTCGTCAAATTATGGTTTTTCATCTCTTAAGTCAAAATATCTTAGATGATCTTTCCTTGACTTAAGGATGTGTGTGTTTCTTCACATTTGTTATTGATCCTCTATCTCAATTTACCATGTCTTATGCTATCACTCTTCCCTCCTGTCATGCGGCCTTAATAGTCGGAACTAGGGTTTGAGGCTGCCAATATTGAGGACAAACTTCCCCTGGTGTGTGATACTTTTGATTATGTATGCCTTTACCGTGGTTTGTCTTCCACAAGCCGTTCACTTGGTCTAGGTAGCGCATGCTAACACGAGAATATGCATGTATAATTTTGAAATTTAGTGACCCTTTTTTTGGATTGCACCATGTTAAGATTGTGCAGCAAGTAGATTAGATCATTAACAAAACACTCGAGTAAAATAGATTTGAAGATCTAAGCCAGAAGTTTTTTCAACCCATTGGACCTAATCCTGATCATTGTTTTGTTATATTTAGATGCATACACTTGCACTCACGCTTGGCACAAGAATACACTTACACTAACACAGAGGGAGCGAGTTTAAACCGCTAGAGCCGAGTGATATAATAGAGCAGAAAGTAAGAGGTATTGTTGCATTGTAAGTAACAAAACTAGAGGAGAGAATTCTGAAGGACGTGCTATTTCCAGAAAGTTATTCAACTTGGAGATGAAGTAGAAACAACAGAAAAGGTAGAGGGGTCAAAGTGCAGGTGAAAAACCACTTAAGCATACAGTATATGAATTTAATATTCGATAATTCGTGATGAGTGAATATTGTGGCACTGGTGTTCGAAAACCAGACACACAGTTTAATAATCCTAAATACCTACAGCCCACCAACAAGTAGCACATGAACAAGAGAAACAAAACCACAAACTTAATAATAACTTGAATGACTGGTAATGATCAGAGTGTTAATATAATGAGATGGTCAAGGCAAATTAAAATGTTGGTACGGGTGATTTTAATAAAAAATCAATAGATTGGAAGTTTGAGGCAAAAATTGAAAAAGTATAATAAAAGTTTATTAGATTTAATGAATAGGTAAATTTGTGAATCATTATTCTGAAGACATTTGTGTACAAACACATTAAACAGGCCACGTGAGTAAGGAAACAGGAAATTTTACCTACTGTACCTTACATAGCCTTCCCGGTTTGGTGCCTTCTTTTGATAATTACTTACTTACTTACTTTTGATAATTACTTACCTACTGTACCTGCCTTCATTTGGTGATTGTGTCTTGTTTTAAAATGAATACAACATTTATTAGGAGAGAAGAGATTGGTTAAAGGAAGATATTGAAGAAACTTGACTTGAAATTATTGTGTTGATGAATTACACGAGGTGTGTAATGGATATAATTGCTAAGATTTGTTGTTAGGAGAAAATTGTTGTTAGCAGAAAGAGCTAAGCTAGTACGACTAAATACAAATTTGGGTGCTGTCGTTAAACAGTACTGTACTCTATATATAACAAAATTTCACCAACATTTGTTTTACATAATCTTTGTTTGAAGATTGTGTTTACTAAATACAGTATACATGAAATTTTATGGAATACACTGTATAACTAAAGCACCCAATTTTTCCTTACCAAAACATCACACACAATTTGGTAAAACTGGACTGGTTCAACAAATATTGTGAGGGCTGGAGATTTAAGGAAGGAAGAAATGAAACCAAACAAAGTTACCTGACCCACTATGACGCAGAGAATAAGTCACAATGTCATGGCTGAAAACAAGTCTCCGTGGTGTAGTGGTAAGACACTCGCCTGGCGTTCCGCGAGCGCTATGTCCTGGGTTCGTATCCTGGCCGGGGAGGATTTACTGGGCGCAATTCCTTAACTGTAGCCTCTGTTTAACGCAACAGTAAAATGTGTACTTGGATGAAAAAACGATTCTTCGCGGCAGTGGATCGTATTCCAGGGACCATAGGATTAAGGACTTGCCCGAAACGCTACGCGTACTAGTGGCTGTACAAGAATGTAACTTGTAACAAAAAAATAACCCGATCACACAAGTGAAATGAAATGACAGTGATGATGTTTCGGTCCATCCTGGACCCTTATCACTTCCTGGATCCTAATCGTCATAACTGTAACACATTGTTATAACCTATTATAGTAACTGTAACAACCTATTAAATGTAACAGTTTCCGTGGTGTAGTGGTAAGACACTCGCCTGGCGTTCCGCGAGCGCTATGTCATGGGTTCGTATCCTGGCCGGGGAGGATTTACTGGGCGCAATTCCTTAACTGTAGCCTCTGTTTAACGCAACAGTAACTCTTGTATATATCTAAAAAAAAAAAAAAAAATTATATATACAGACAAGAATGAAATCATTACAAGGTAGTGAGAAGGAAGGAGAAAAGAAACTTTGAGAAAAGGAATGCAGACAAATGCAAAGTGGAACTCTTGCCTTTTTCTGTAAATTTATTGAAAGAAAACTGTAAAAAATTTAAATTCGGAGATAATGTGGGGATAACAAATTCATAGAGACAGAAGAAAAATGTGCAAAACTAAATAAAAATGTAAAAAGAGTATACATATAATGTGAGTATTTTACAGAACTGGACACATTTTGGACTTGTATAGTATAGTACACTGTAGATTACCTAGATTACCAAAA